GAGAGTAAGATATACTATCTGTATGTGTGTGTATGTTTCGATTTCGATTGGCATGGTATTGGTGTTAGCTCATCGAGGTTATGGATATTGCGTCGTCGTCATCGCGATGTTGGTAGTATTGCTGCTGGCTTTATAAACCAGTTAGTCCAACAGCAACAGCAGGTCTTCAGCATCTCTTACACACACACACACACACAGATATTGGGGTTTTGAGCCAACCGCTTAGGTGCGTCTCTCTGTCTCTGTGTGTGTATGTGTGTGTGTTAACGTGTTTATGAGACACCACCAGTCTCAGCCAACAACAATCACCAATCTTACCTAACAGCCCGTGAGCCAAGACCCGAAACAGACACAACAAAATATATATATATATATTTCTCTGCTTGAATATATATATTATATATATATAATGTATGTAAACCATAAAAAGTTGGCCAAAAAGCACACTTTTAAGAACCAAAATCCGTATCCGTGGCTGTGGCAAATTATTATTTGTTACAAAACATTCCGAGTCTTTAAATGACTTTGTTTTTGTTAAACAAACAGAGTTTCTTTAAGGAAAATGCTAGAAGAAAATGACTTTGCAAAAATAAACGGGGTTTTTATTGGAAAATTATTGTATTTCGATAGCTTCGATTATTGCTTAACTAAATGTATGATTTCCTCTAGGGGTTTTGATTAAATAAACATGGTTTTTGTAAGAAGAGTCCTAGATTTTCCCCAAAAAAATGTTTTCGATTGAATTACTAATGTATTTTGATAATTTCGATTACTTTTTCATTGAAAAATTGTTGTATATCCACATTTTTGGTTATTTCTTGCATAAAAATAAGATTTCCTCAAGAGGTTTTGTACAAATAAACATATTTTTTATGAGGAAAGTACTAATTATGTTGATTTTCCTCAAAAGAAAGGTTTTTGATTGAATAATTGATGTTTTTCGATAAATTCGATTATTTTTTATGATTTTCCTGAAAGGATTCCTTCTTTAAACTATGCTATTTGCTAAAAAAAACACTGAAGATAATGGACTTTCATCCAAAAAACTGTTTAAATTCAATAAATTTTATATTTCGATATATATTTTTCGATAAAAACGATTGCTTCTGTCTTTTAAACGATGTTTTCGATTTAATAAAGATATTTTTAAGAAAAGCACTGAAGATGTTAAGAACTTTGCTTTCAACTACTGTTTAAATTCAATAAATATAATATTTCGATAATTTCGATTATATTTCCCGATAAAAACAAGTTCTTTCTTCTTTCTAAAATAAGTTTTTGGTAAAATAAACATAAAATCTTCAAGAAAACCATCAAAGGTTCAAGATTTTTCTTCCAAAAACTGTTTAACTTGAAAAAGTATGCTTTTTCGATAATTATCGATATACAAATTGATGATTAAAGGTTAGTTTTTACCCTAAAGATTTTTTTTTTTGTTGAAATAACCAAAATTGCATAAGAAAATAATTAATAACTCATATAACAGCTAAAGTCAAAGGTTTTCCCCACCACAGAACTCATCAAGTTGGAATAACGGTTTTGTTTAGATAACATTTCGATAAACAAAGCCGATGAATAAGCCTTGTTTTTTCCACTGGCGGATTATCAATTGAATAAAGTGGAAAACTCAATGAATTATTTCCAATTATTATTACGAGGGAGAAACGTATAAACCCCATTGTGGTTTAGGTAATACTAGAATATAAATAAATATAGGAATTACAAGTTTCCGATTACCACAACAGCTCTACGATTACGAAGGTTCTTTATGATTTTAATTTTGAATTCGATAATAAATCGATAAATCGTGGCTTTAATTGGTTTTAAAATCAATTTCGAGGATTATTACCTCATGAGTTAGTTTTTTTTTTCGAACCGGAACTGACTGCCTCGAAAAGAAAAGTTTTGCAAAAGGCCTCAAGGTCTTTGGTTGTAACTCCCCCTCTTTGGGAGTCTTTCTTTCTTTCTCTCTCTCTCTCTCTCTTTCTTCTTCTTTTTATTGTTATTGTTATTGTTATTGTTATTGTCTTTACTTAACCCACCGCAACAATGAAAGAGAAATGAAAAGAAGAAAACCCGAATGCGGCTAGAAGAGAAGGGCAGAAGAAAGAGACAGGAGACAAGCAACTAGGCAACAAGTAGTAGTAGAAGAAGAAGCAGTTAAAAGCAAAAGCACAAAAAAAAAAAAGCAAAAGCATGACTGAAAGAAAAGTAAACGTATTTTCATTTTCAAATGAAAGGGAAATTCTCACCCATATGATGTGGAGCTAGAAAGAGACTACTAGAGAGTCCAAGACAGAGAAGAAGCTTAAGAGAGCAAGGGAGGAAAAACTTTGCAAAAAAAAAAAGAAAAGCGTGGTTTTGCGGAAGAGAGAAGGAAAAATAGAGCGGAGATTGGCGAGTTTTTCAAAAGTGGTTTTTCAAACATGTTTTTTTTTATAAAAAAAAAAAAAAATATATATATATATATTGTTCCCACCCCCTTTTATTTTTTTTTTTACCTCCCATTACCATTACTCACCTCGTGGTTGCGGATCGGGTTTCAAGCGTTTATGGCGACGTCCGTTTTGCGAAATCAGTTCACGAATTATGGCCCGAAAGTGTGACCTTCGTTGTGTGACAAAAACAGCTGTGCAAACGGAAAACAAAAGAAAAGAAAGAAAAGCTAGAAAGAGAAACAAACATTCATAATATTTGTCACTGAAGGTTGGCTTTTATTAGTAAACTGCGGAAGTGTTTATTTGAAATTACTTATTTTTAAAAATTAAATATCTTAATCTAAATAATTTTCAAGGTTTTGTGGGGAAATTTCTTTGTTTGGTTTTACAATATTATTAAGTAATCGTGAATTGCCCGCATAAACTGGGTTTTTCTTCTTCAGGTCTCAGGTACTACTTGCTGCAAATACAAAAAAAAGAAAAAGCAAAAAAGCAAAAGCAAAAGCAAAAAGCCAGCAACCGTATCCGCAGTCGCAGTCGCAATCGGCTTCGCAGCGGCAGAGACGTTGCAGCGATGCCGTAAGCGTCACAAAAGCGCTAAAGGTTTGCAAACTTGTTGCGCTCGTTAATGTTTTTTTTCTCTTTCTTTTTTTTTTTGCTGTCTGCGCAGAGTTGCAAGCTGAAACCGAAACTGAAACCATAAACAGGGTTGCCAGGTGCTTGGATCCGGTTCGAGTCTGGTCCTCAATGTCAGCTGACTAATTAACGGTGTAATAGAGCAGGAAGTTTTGAAAAAAAAAACAAAACAAAAAAAAATACCAAAACTGAGAGCAAAGACAAGATAAGATAAGAAATATATTCATAAATGTGTGCACTGCGCCTATATATGAGCTTCTAAACTGATTGTTCGTCAAGCAAATTAATTAATTGGACATTTAAATTGTTTTGTTTCTCTGAAATGGTATATGAAGGAATTACTCATTGTATGTGTGTGTATATTGTGTGTGTGTTTTGAAATCGGAGCAAGAAGATAACCCAAATAAAGTGCATATGTATAATAAATATTTATTTATTTCTTGCCAGTTTCCAGACTCATCTGTACGCAGGCAGCTCAGTTTTTTTTTTGTTTTTTTGTTTTTTTTATTTTAGTTTTTTTTTTTTTTATGTGTCTTGACATCCCCTTGGGGCCAGATAACGATTCTCTAAGTGGGGCTATATAAACCGTAATCTTATAGGGGTCTAGCATCTGTAAATGCGAACAGTGCTGAGGTTTAAGATTATTTTATTTATTTTTTTAAAAGTTATTTTAACTTGCTAACCATCTGGCAACCCTATTACTACCGTCTCAGTTTCAGACATTGCGCATGCGCCACCGTCTTTATCGCTCTGCCCGGCTGGCTCTCTGCCTTGGGGGTCCACCTCTCCTACTCTTTCTCTCTCTGCCCCCACACTGTCGCTTCTCTTTACACCGCCCGATGTATAACCCTCCCCTTCTTGTCGCACTTGTTGAGCAAGCCAACCAGTTTTCCCTCTCTGGCAAAAGGAGAGTGGCAAATTGTTTCTCTTTTTTTTTTATTTCGAAGGGGGCCAAGCAAGAAGAGAGGCTGTGTGGGTCTGTTGGATGGGGTATCAAAGGGGGGCGGGGTGGTTGATTACTTTGCCTGGCTGAGCCCAAAATGTTGTTGTTTTTTTTTTACTTTTGCTTTTGATGTCTTTTTGGCGGCAGAGCTCCGGCTTTTGGTTTTTTTTTTTTTTCGAGCCAAGACATGAAAAGACAAGACTTGAAGCCAAGCCGTGCCGAGCCAACTTGTTGCGTGTTGTTGGCTTGAACTTGAGCTCTATACATATGTAATTGGCTCTCTGTGGCCAGAGTTGTTGTTAGTTTTTGTTGTTGTTGTTTGTTTTTTTTTGGCCACGCTTGATGGAGTGAGTTGAGTGTCGTGTTGTTGGCGTTGTGCTTGTGTTGGTGTTTTTGTTAACTGGTTGCATAACATGTTACAGCATCGCATCGAACGAAAATGAACAAGCCAAGTCGGACGTTGCGTTCCCAAAAAAAAAAAAAAACTAAAAAAAACTAAAAAAAAACCCCAAAACTTGATGACGACACGAAAAGTGGAGAGTGGGGAGTGGCAAGGGGGGAGGATAGAGCTGGCAGCTGGTTTTTCTTGGCTCTCCGGTTAATGTCTGGAAAATTATAACATTTTGTGGCTTTTGCAATATCTCTGTTGGCTTTTTCTACTGTTTCTTTTATTTTCCACTCTTTCTATCTCTGTTTCTGTTTCAATTTCCATTTTCATTTTTTTTTCCTGCTTATAGGTCAAGTTAAAAGTAAAAGTATCCAAGCACCATTTGAGCTTGGCTTTTGGCTCTTCTCTTCCCCCTTTTACCTTCTTTTTAATTATATATTTATGTCGTTTTTGTTTGGCCTTTTGCGAAATATTCGCTCGTTACGTATATTACGTATACGCCCGAGAGACGGAAATTGATTTTTTATATATTTTTTTTTTTGGATTTCTTCTCACCTCTTTATTTAAAATGTATTTTTTTTTTTTGCATTCACAGGTGGCGAGTGATCGCGATCATCAGCAACAGCAACAGCAGCAGCCGCCAGTGGTGGAGCACGTCCTGGACAGCACCAACAGCAACATGGAGCAACAGCAGCACCCACACCGCCTGCACGGCCCCCTCACTCGCACCATTTCACAGCCGGCTCAGCGTCATCAGCAGCTCCTTCAACAGCAGCAACAACAACAACAACAGCAACAACCTGTGGCATCCTTGGTGACCATTATCGAGAGCCTGGGCAGCATGAACCTGCACCGCAAACTGGAGAGGACACAGTCGGAGCCACTGCCCCAGCAGCCCATGAATACTTCCAGGTAGGTGACGAAGGCTAAGGCTGATGCAAGGGCTTGTAATAATGCCAGGGGGAGTGAGGATTTCAGGATTTTGGTTAAAAATAGGGGAGAGATTTGGAAGGATTAGAGAAGCTTTGTTTTTGGAAAAAGTTAGGTGGTTTTTTAATTGAAAATATTCATAATTTTGAGCAGAAATATGTCGTTTTTAATAATGTTATTTCAAGTTATTTTGTTTTTTAAACGTATTTTCGTTTAAAAACTTATTTCTTTATATTTTTCTTATTTTATTCTTTTCGTTTTCTTCTTATAAGGAGTTTTAATTAGAAAAGTAACAAAATTATAAAATATAAATACTACTTTGTGTAAAAAATAGCACTTTTTAGAAGGTAACTTTTAGGAAAACAAAAAAAAAACCGGAACTTTTATGTTTTCTTAATATTTGTCGGTCTTTTTTGGTCAAAAATTACATCATTTTAAGAAGACTAACTCCAAAAGGACCTAAAATCCAAAAGAAATACCATTTCAAAATATAAAATTGGTTTAAAATAAGTACCTATAAAGCTCTTTTTTAGAAGAAACTTAAAATCAACTTAAAAGAAGTACTTTGATCTCTCTTTTTTTACCAAAAAAATATGTTGTTTTAAGAAAATCCTTTTAAAAATAGAAACTATATAGTTTTCTTTACATTTTTGTCTCTTTTTCTGAAAGAAAATAAATCTTTTTAAAAAATTGACTAATAATCCAAAAGAAATACCATTTTAAAAGGCAAAATGAACTTGAAAGAAGTAGCTCTGCTATGTAGCTCTTATTTTACAAGAAAAATATATTTCTATTCAAGAAAATCCTTAAGAAAAGAAACTGAAGTATTTTTTTCATATTTTTAGCTTTTAGAAAGTATGTAGCTCTTTTATTTCAAAACCAAGGCTTTTATTTTAAACGACATACTTTACTTTAAATTAAATATCGAAATTTAAGTTCCAGTCTAGTTTAAAAAAAAAATCCAAATAATACTATAGACCATGGCTTTAAATTCGTCACTAGCTTTAAAACCAAATCCCCAGCAGAAGTCAGTCTCTCAAAGTGAGCACAGTCCTTGAAAGAACCATATCTATTTTTTTTTGAGAAAAACAACAAAAAAAAAGACATTTTTATAAAAAATACCAAAGATGCCGACCGGTGGCTGGAAATCGTAAGCTTAACTGGCAGTGTTACCAGCCTAGAAAATACTAACATATTTATTGGAACAACCACTAATCCCAGGATTCTTTGCAGATACAAGACAGAGCTGTGCCGGCCCTTCGAGGAGGCAGGTGAGTGCAAGTACGGGGAAAAGTGCCAGTTCGCCCATGGATTCCACGAGCTGCGCAACCTGCAGCGGCATCCCAAGTACAAGACCGAGTACTGCCGCACCTTCCACAGTGTCGGCTTCTGTCCGTATGGGCCGCGCTGCCATTTTGTTCACAATGCGGATGAGGCGCGCGCCCAGCAGCAGGCAGCCCAGGCGGCGTCCAAGTCCTCCTCCAGTCAGCAGCAGCAGTCGTCCCAGTCGCAGCAGTCTTCCACGGGTGGCCAGCAGAGCTTCCCTAGCAAGGGCAGCCAGGCCACGAATATCCTGAACAGCAGCAACGCCGCCAACAACAACAACAACAACAGTAATCAGTTCTTCTTGCCACTGAGCCCGCCGCTGTCGATGAGCACCGGCTCGGATCGGGAGTCGCCCACCGGATCGCTGTCGCTCAGTCCCACCAACTCGCTGACCAACTTTCCCTTCCACGATGCCCTGCATCAGAACGGCGGCTATCTGGGCCTGATGGGCCAGGGCGGTGGCGGAGGCGGCGGCGGCAGCAGCAGCGGTGGTGCCGGCAACAGTTCCTCGGCCTCATCCACATCGTCCTCGTCGGGACTGGGTCTGGGCCTGGGCATGGGCATGGGCGGCATGGGCATGAGCATGGGCCTCAGCCTGGGCATGGTGGGTGGTGGACCGAACACCCCGCCAGAGAGTCCCAATGTACCCATCTCCCCGGTGCACACACCGCCGCCCTACGACCTGAGCGGCCCCACCGGGAAGCAGTTGCTCCAGAAGAGCGTCAGCACGCCACCACAGCACCACCATCAGCAGGTGCAACCGATGCAGCAGGAGGAGACGCCACGGCTGCCGGTCTTCAATCGTCTGAGCTCCGCCGTGGAGGCCTATCAGTCCAACTTGGGTCTCTAAAGAGGATCGTTAGAGAGGAGGAGGAGAAACAAGAACCAAATCATCGAAAACCCCATCCACAAAGCATCCCTCCATCGATACTAAAAAAAAAACAAATCCTTGACAAAATCTCAGCCAACGACCCTCAAAAGCTGCGACTTGATACTGAAGAGCTGACAACAACAACAAAAAATACTAAACCACGCAACAACAACAAAAAAAATACTAAAAACAAGAACCAAGCGATCTTTGATATGATTTCTCTCAAGCTGTGACAGTTTATGTCGTTTATCTTTAATCGAAAGACAAACAAACAAAAAAAAAAACTATAAAACCTACAAAAAAAAAAAGAGATATAGAAGGACGATAAGATATATAGATACGTAGAGAAAAGAAAAATACTAATTCCCAAAAAGGAATGGAAAACGGAGCATTCTCCAACACTGGACAAGCAAGTAACGGAAACCGCAACCAAAATGAGACGCAAAAACGAGAGAAATCTTCAAGCGAGAATTTTGCTCAAAATCGAAATCAAGGAACTTATATATATATATTTTATATACAAACACACACATATATATATACATAGATATATATAACGGATTATGCGAATTGTTCCTGCATTTAATAGGATCTACTGTACTTGTAGTGGTGCGCACCGATTAGGAAACCCCTCCCGCAGCACTTGTCGATTATTGTTCAATATATATTTATTATAATGCCGCACCGATCCTTTTTGCTCGGTATATATATATATATACTTGGTCCTGTATATAACTATCCGTTTTGAAATGATTATCGATAAGTCCGATAAGTCTTCCAATCGAAATCGATCACAGATGATTCGATAATGATCCACAGAGAGAACGCAAGAGAGAGAGAGAGCGAGCGCAGGCAGGAGAGCAGAAACGAATGGTAACGGAAACGGAAACCGAAACAGAAACGGATACGAAAACAGGCTCTCGGATACACTACCATTTACAGAGAGAAAAAAAACGGACAGCTGAGAAACGGAATGTTAAGAAAATTCTTTAATTTATTATATTTTTTGCTAAATTTATGTAATAGTGAGATGATTGTGTAAATACGAGAACGAGACGGAGTTAATACTTTGATAAAAGCCTATAAATTATGTTTTAACAATTTACGTTTACGGTTACAATGATCTTGGATGATAAATGATATGATGAATATTATTGATGATATACCTCTGCAAAATCTGCAACAAATCACAACAATAAACAAAAACCTACAACAACAACAAATAACAAAACACAGAACTACAGAAAGATAATTAAAAATCTTAAATCTTAAATGAAAATTTGCTGATTTTTATTATAAAACACCAACAACAACTACAAACAAAACACCATAATTTATTTTCGCATCTACAACAAACAAACAAATAAAAAAAAAAACAAAAAACATACCAGCTATATTTTATATGCAATTAATGTTAATAATTTATGAAAAAAAACACAAACACACATACACACACACACACAAACACAAACACATTATATATATTTTGACCATTGATAATTTTATGTTTTTTATGGTATATGCGACACAGATCATTTTGTTTATTATATATAATATTATTATTTTTATTTTTATTTAATTTATTTTACCAAACCTTTTTTTCTTGATTTCTTACTTATTTTTTTGGGTGCAGTTATATAATTTTTAGTGTTTACAAACGAAACAACCAATCCCCCCGGCCCCCCTTATTTATATACAAATTATATAAAAAAACAACAACAAAACCATATATTTATATATTTGCTTATACACCACCCTGATGATTATGAACTACATTTATATGTAATAATAATAAAAAAAAAATACAACAAAAAAAACTACAAAAAACCGAAGCAAAAAAAATGGAAATGTTATAACTTGTAACAAAAACAAAAGCAAAAACAAACAAATGTGAGAGAAACCTATTTAAAATATTTATGTAGGAAACAAAAACAACAAAAAATTAACGATTGTCGATCTTTGTATGTGTCGGGAAAACAACAACAACAAAAACTAAAAAAAAAAGGCCGAAATGAAAGAAAAAAAACTGAGTACAGTGTTAGAAATGTATAATTAAGTGAAAACTGAGCAAGAAATTTAGAAAACGGGAAAAAAACGCAAAAAAAACTTAAGGAAAATATTTAAATTATTTTTTATACAAAAAACACACACACGCACACCCACTCCTTTTGCCCTTATTGTGTATTTTGCAATTATGAACTGTACTGTATGAACAGACATTACACCTATTAATTATTTTTTTTTTCTGTTTAAATAATTTATATTTAACGCAATATTGGGGATACTGCAAATCAAAACAAAACAAATTCAAATATTTTATTACTCCTATTTATTATTACCTTTTTCACTTGGCGTATTATATTTAAAAACAAAAAAAAAAAACACCAGCCACAGAGAAAACAATTTAAGCATGACTTAAAAACAAAAACAAGAAGAAAAAAAAGAAACTAAAAAAAAACAAGAGAGTTGTAGGGAGAGAGGGAGAGGAATGGCAAGTGTTTATCAACACGAGGGGGTAAATAATTCTCAAAGTGCCTTATCATTAATATTATATATATACTATATAAATTATACACACACCCAAACAAACACACACACACACACACACACAAAATTACGTTATAGTCTTGTGGAAATGGAAACGGACGGAACGAACGAAAGTGCAAAAGGCATATTTATTTATTAATTTTAATTCTATTTTATTTGATTCTCTTTTCGATATTTTTCGATTTGATTTCTCACTCCCACTCTCCACCTCCACCACCTTTGTTGTTTCTTTGTTTTTTTTTCTCGTACGATTCAGAATCGGTTTTCGGATTCGGACGACGAAGAGTAGTTACGTTTACGGCAGCGTGCAAAGGTTAACTATAATTCTATATATTTAATACTTATAATAATACGTTTTTTTTTATTTTGCTCTATTTAAATGTACAACCCCCCCATACAATCTAAAATTTGAGCTTTGGTTATCATTAATTAATTACTTGTTCTTCCCTTTGTACAACAAAAAAAAAAGCAAAAACAAAAAAAAACTCGGGCCCGCATGAAGCAATCGGGCGCCTTATCGGAATTAAAGCCTAAAAATTAACATACCACGTCGTCTTCCCCCCACAAAAAAAAAACAAACAACAAATTATAATAAACTTGATGTTGTGAACCAGAGGTTAGGATATATAACTATATTTTTTGATGATCGATTAACAAAGAACAAGAAATGTAATGCCAGTTGAATTATACACTATTTAATTATGCTTTGTTCGTTATTTATATTAAAACATATACCATAAATAATTCATAGATTTCCGCCTTGGCAGCAACAACAACAACAAAACAACGAAAAAGACAAAACAAATAACAAATTAGAAATCAAACACAACTGTACATGAATTTTGTTAATGCTGAAACATGCCTATTTATGCTTCCATTGCAACACTATGTGCGTATTTTTATATAGTAAATTAAAGTGAAGTGAAAACAATTTAGTTTATGGCGAATTTTAAGTTAAATAGCAATTAAATTAAAACGTTACAAAATAAATGGAAAAATATAAACAAACTGTCGACTCTGATTTTCATTTCAACAACTTTTTTTCAGCAGCAAGGTCTTTGTCTGGCGCCGTACAGTGATCCCTCGATAACAAGGGTTATCTCTAAGCTGAATGAGGTGACGTCGTCGCTGGTTCTTGTTCTTTTTCATATGGCTGCTTAATTTAAAAAGCCTATCACATGTTTCACAGATTTTCCTGGCTTTTTCAAAACTCTGGAATTTTCCATTTTTCCCATTATGTCTGATTTTTCCCAATTGTCCCGATTTTTTCGAATTTTCCTCATTTTTTCCCGAATTTTCCTCATTGTTTCAGATTTTCCCGCATTTTCCTAAATTTTTCCCGGATTTTCCGAATTGTCCTGAATTTTTTCAAATTTTTTTCCGAATTTTCCAGATTTTCCCGGAATTTTCCCAATTTTTTCCGAATTTTCCAGTTTTTCCCCTTTTTTTCAAATTTTTTCCAAAATTTTCCGAATTTTCCTGAATTTTCCCGAATTCTCCCGAATTTTCCTGAATTTTCCGAATTTTCATGAATTTTTCTGAATTTTCCCAAATTTCCCTGAATTTTCCTGAATTTTCCCGAATTTTCCCGAATTTTCCCGAATTTTCCTGAATTTTTCCGAATTTTTCCAGATTTTTTCAGATTTTTCCGAAATTTTTCCAAGTTGGTTACGTTTTCCCCCAGAAGTAGGCCAAGTCCAATACGTACGACGTAATGGTAAAATATCCCCATACCGGCGAGCACGGCTGGATACTAAGTCCAGTACGTCATAAAATTGAAGTGGCCAAAATCCCGTTAGGATGAGTGCCAGAAGCCACCTGTTGGCCATGCTTAAAAATTCCATATCAAGCAATAACAATAGATGGCGGTTTACCCATTTGCATTTTTTTAAATTATGAACCATAGGTGGTGTTAAATTCAGTTAATTCGCGAATGCGCGACTAACCCGAACAATAGGTGGCGGTTTCCCCATTTGCATTTGTTAAAGTAAGAATCATAGGTGGCGTTAATTATGTTAATTCAGTGAATGCGCGCTAGCCCGAACAATAGGTGGCTCTTTATTAAACAATAATTTTTTATACACGACCAACAGGTGGCTTCTGGCACTCATCCTAACGGGATTTTGGCCACTTCAATTTTATGACGTACTGGACTTAGTATCCAGCCGTGCTCGCCGGTATGGGGATATTTTACCATTACGTCGTACGTATTGGACTTGGCCTACTTCTGGGGGAAAACGTAACCAACTTGGAAAAATTTCGGAAAAATCTGAAAAAATCTGGAAAAATTCGGAAAAATTCAGGAAAATTCGGGAAAATTCGGGAAAATTCAGGAAAATTCAGGAAAATTCGGGAAAATTCGGGAAAATTCAGGAAAATTCAGGGAAATTTGGGAAAATTCAGGAAAATTCATGAAAATTCGGAAAATTCAGGAAAATTCGGGAGAATTCGGGAAAATTCAGGAAAATTCGGAAAATTTTGGAAAAAATTTGAAAAAAAGGGGAAAAATCTGGAAAAATTCGGAAAAATTCAGGAAAATTCGTGAAAATTCGGGAAAATTCGGAAAAATCTGGAAAATTCGGGAAAATTCAGGAAAATTCAGGAAAATTCGGGAAAATTCGGGAAAATTCAGGAAAATTCAGGGAAATTTGGGAAAATTCAGGAAAATTCATGAAAATTCGGAAAATTCAGGAAAATTCGGGAAAATTCAAGAAAATTCGGGAAAATTCAGGAAAATTCATGAAAATTCGGAAAATTCGGAAAAATTCAAGAAAATTCGGAAAAATCTGGAAAAAATCTGGAAAAATTCAGGAAAAATCTCGAAATTTGGAAAAAATAAGACAAGTTCGGGAAAATTCAGGAAAATTCGGAAAAATTTAGGAAAATTCAGGAAAATCTGAACATTTTTTGGAAAAATCGGAAAAATTTGAAAAAATCTGGAAAATGAGGAAAATTTTGGACAATTAGGAAAAATGAGGAAAATTTGAAAAAATCAGAAAAATTTGGTAAAATTTGGAAAATTAGGAAAAATCATGAAAATCTGGAAAAATTCGGAAAATTTGGAAAAAATCAGGAAAATTCGAAACAAATTTCGAAAAATTCGGAAAAAAAATTGAAAAAATTGTAAATTTGGAAAAATTCTTGAAAAATGAGGAAAATTTTTGAAAAATTTAAAAAAATCGGACAAATCGGAAAAATTAGGAAAACTCAGAGAAAATCTGAAAAAAAAGATGATGAAAATTCGAAAACATCGGAAAATTTTTACAATTTGGGGGAAAAAAATCAGGAATTTTGAAAAATGTGAAAACCCTACAAAACCCAAATAAAAAGACATTCAACATTTTGTTATACATTTCTTTTGTTTTTATTTTTTGTATTTGTTTTTATTTGTATTTTGTTTTGTTTGCTTTTTAATATGTTGTATTTAATTTTATATTATTTTAAGCTTACAACTTAAGGCATAAAGTTACAAACTAAAACTTAAGTGCTAAACATCATTATCATGTTATCGACCATAATCAGCTCTAGCTCTGCGACTCGGCGCCCATTATATGCATATACTCCACATAATAATATTGTTTGTTTACTTTTCATCATTCATAATTTTTATTTATTATAATAGTTTATCATTTATGCACTCAAAAACTGTTTTTATTCATCTGGATTTTGAATTCTTTTTCTTTTGTTTCATATCGAATTGAATTGATAAAACAGAGGGGCTTGACCAAAAAAAAAAAGATGAATAAGTTTATCCAAATTTTGCGAATTTTAGTTGTTTGTTTTTCAGGGCACATTTTGTGCATACACTTACTTTTTGTTTGTTTTACATTCATTTAGCCGGCGTTATTCTTTTTTGTTTTGTTTAATTTGTAATGCGACCAGCCTTAAAATTCGGTTATTCATACAATAATCATTTATTTATATATATATATATTATATGTATAGAAAGTGCTCACTATTCGAATCGAGGGAAACAGGGAGATCGGATGGGGCGACAGCGGCAGTTCTTTCGTTGTGTGGGCGTGTCTCAGCATTTCCGGCTCCGGTCGCTCCGATCCGTAATCTCCATTTTTTTTTTGTATCCTTTCCGATCGATCCTCGGGTTCCAGTTATTCTGTTAGTTATTATGCTGCCGTTTTACATACATTTATTATATTTATATATATATATATATTGTTTTTGTAAAATTTTCTGTATATATATATAGAATTTGTTTCTTTACTTTTGTTTTATAATTTTCATATATATATATATATATATATTTATAAAAAAAAACGCTTCTTGCTCTAAACTAAAACGTAGCTGCTCCTCTGCCGGCCAGAGTTGCGTTTTTTGCGGGTTTTTGTATTTCATATCCGTTTCCGTTTTTTGTTTCTATTTCCGCCTTCGAATATCTTTATCATTACTTTCTTTTAGCGGCATTAGCTTTTACATATAGTATGTATGTGTGGTTTGTTAATATTTTACAATTTTTGTTTTTTTGTTGAATAAGTCTTAGCGTTTGTTGTTTATTTTATATTTATATATATATGTATACATATATATAGATGGTTTTCTTTATTCTTTTTAGTTTCATTATGTATTAAAAATATTTATATTTTTTTGTGTTCACGTTTTTTTTTCGTTTTTAAATTGGTTTCACGTTTGCATAGATGTATATATATAAAAAAAAAATAAGTTACAAAAAAAAAACGAATTTAAGAGTAAAGTAGCTAACACTAAAACTGTTTCGTAAGACGTAATGTTTTATAAAAAATATGCGTATGTATATATCCCATATATATTTATATATATATATATTTTTATCCACACCTATACATATACATCCATATAGACCGTAATGACATAAATATATGAATGCATACATAAATGGTATAATTTTCTTGTTGTTTCCTTCTTTTTTTTTTTACATACATATATATTGGGTTTGTTTTTTGTTTTGTTTTTTTTTTTTACTTACATCGAAATTTTCATTATCTTAACAATTACACGTAAATAATTCAATAGCTTTTGTTTGTTTGTTTTTGTTTTAGGAGGAGGATAAAAAACACAATAATGCTCCATAAATTAGATCTTGCGTATAAAAATAGCAAAAAAAAAAAATTACATATACATATTTCTAATTGAATAATAGTACAACTTTAGTAAGTATATATATATATTAATTTATATATATATATATATATTCTTGTATGGATATAATCGATTAAAATGATGTTTTGCTAAACTTATGCGCAGTTTTATGAAATTTACAAAAAGTCGTTTAAATAATGTTTTTTTTAAAGTCACCTATAGTTAATGTATATATATATATTTACTTGTTTCTCATTTTATGTTTTTCTTTTCTTTCTTTTTTTTTTTGTTAATATTTTTTTTTTCTCTAAGAACAGCCCAACAGTGTGTTTTTATATTTATATATATATATATATATACTTTTGTTTTACTCTTTATTCTTTCAAGTGTATTGTATATTTATAGGTGTGTGTGTGTGTTTATTTATATTTTTCATTTTTCCGGTTTTTCATTTTTCAGTTTTTATTACAATCCGACAAGGACTCAGGATACTGAGCGGTTAGAGCTACATTAGAGCGACAGGACACACACATACACGCAAACACATACAGGACACCAAATCACATGTACACTTAAAAAAACGACACAGTTAAATATTGAAATCTGGCTTCGAAGAGAGCTCCAGTTAAGGATCCGGGAAAAGGCAACCTTTAACCTTCAAAAAGAATTTCCAAAATTTGTACAATTTTTTGTTAAATATTACAATTTGTTGAATTTACAATATAATTGAATTTTTTAATTTAAAAAAAAGTATAACATAATTTTAATATATTTATTGTTTAAAAAAATAATTGACTAAATAAAATGTGAAATTGTACAATTGAGTTAAAATTAAAATAGGCTGGATATAATGTATAAAAAAGTCCAAATATATGTATAATTATGAATGAATATTTTGCTAATTTTTTTAAAATTTAGTTGCCACCTCTCCCTTTCTCGCTTACGCTGTCTCCTTCTCTTACACTTTCTTGTGTTTCTGGTTTCTTTTTCCATTTTACCTCTTGTTTCTATTTTTTTTTTAGTATTATAATTTAAATTTGTTTTAAAGCCCTTGGTATATATTTTTTGTTTTTTTTTTTTTTACATAATAGTTCATAATAGGGCTTTTTGTCCAACAATTTTTGGGTAATTTTTTAAATGTTTCTTTTGTTTTGTTTTTAATTAATTAAATCGCTTATACTAAGTGGTAGCCTACTTTCAGTGTTGTATGTTGCATGTTGCATGTTGCATGTTGCTTGTTGCATATTTTCCTCATATTTGTTGCATGTTGCTCTTATAACTCACCCAGTTACGCTCTTATATTGGTTTCTAGAAGTAGTTGCATGTTGCATGTTGCATGTTGCATGTTGCATGTTGCATGTTGCATGTTGCTAGTAGTAACCAGGATTGCTGCCGCCTCCTGTATAATGTTCACTGGCATAATACAAGCTTCGCTGCTGCTGCTGCTGGTGCGGATGTTGCTGATGCGGATGTTGCTGATGCGGATGCGGATGTTGCTGATGCGCTGGATGATGATGTTGTTGTTGTTGTTGCTGTTGCTGGGATTGCAGTGGCGGCGGCAGGACACTGGCCTGGTAGCGATGCGGCGACAACGGCTGCGGATGCAACTGTGGCTGCGAGTGGCGGCGATAGCTGGGATATCCATACACTAGACTGGCATTGCTGGTGGCCACCATGGGCTGGGGTGGTACTCCTCCTCCTACTCCTACTGACCGCAGGTGTGACTGCGTGGCCGACGCCGACGAAGACGCCGGCAGTCACAACTAATCCTCGTCGCTGAGGGCCTCGTACTTGGAGGACAGCAGAGGCTTCGGTTCACTGGCCGCCGACACGGCTGTCACTGCGGCCGCTGTGGCTGCGGAAGCGGCTGCCACCGATGCCACCGATACGGGATTGACGACACCACCGGGTCCTCCGGGACCACCGCCGCCACCCGAAGGACCTCCAGCGCCACTGCCGCCGCCCGGTATACCGCCCGGCCCGCCGCCAGGAGGTCCGCCACCACCGCCAGCTCCACCACCCACTACCAGGGAGACGCCACCGCCGGCTGCGCCCAGTTCGCTCAGGGCCAGGGCCGCCTTGGCCGCCTTGCTGATGTGCCCGGGCGGCGCCACCACCTGGTGGGCGGCCAGTTGCAGGGGCTGCGGGGGCGGCAGACCGCCGGCGGCACTCGGCACCGTCAGAGCACTGTACGGGAAGGCGTAGGTGTTGGGGGCATAGGCCGTGGGTGGTGGATGGTACGGCGAATGGTGGCTATTGGCCCCCGAAACGGACACGGACACGGATCCGCCACTGCCGGCACTACTTCCTCCGGCCGAACGCCGGCCGCTGGCGTCCACCACCTCGTACTGATTGGGCGTCTTCCGGGAGACACTGATCTCCGGCGGTGGCGGCTCCGCCTTGCTGCGATGCTGTTGCTCCAAGGCGGCGGCGTGTGCGGCATGGGCTGCGTGCGCCACATGGGCGGCATGAGCGGCGTGCATCGCCGAGGCGTGCGTTTGGTGGGCGGCTGCGGCGGCCACCATATCGGCGGTCACCTCGTCCTCGGACCGGACTTCCACAATCCGGGTCTTGGCGTAGCAGATGTCGTCGCGCATCACCTCGGCTATCCGGTTCTTGACATAGTTATCGATGTTGGTGGATCCACCGCCACCTCCGCCGCCTGCCCCGCCGCCGGGTCCTCCGCCGGGTGGGCCTTCACCTCCGCTGCCCGGCGGTCCAGCACCGCCACCAGGTCCGCCACGCTGGTCCGGCGGCATGGGCGCTCCGACACGTCCCACCACCGAGCCGGGCGGTGCCGGCGGGAAGTAGTGTCCGGGCGCCGCAGCCGTGGCCGCCAGCACCTGATGCAACATCAGCTCGTGGGTGTACTTCCGAGGACTGACTGCCTGGGGCATCCGTATGATGTTCCGGCCATCCTCTCCGGGGGTATTGGCGCGTCCGCCGCTCGATCCGCCAGCTGAGCCGCCGCTCGGATTACCGCCCGGCGGATTGCCGCCCGGATGCTGCTGCTGCTGCTGCTTGCCATCCTCGGCCTTGTGCTGCATGCGGCGGTTCGGCTTCCAGCGGTCGAGGAGGATCGGCTGCGGCTCCTGCATGTAGGTCATGAATGGGGGTGTCGGTCGCAGGTGCGGACTGGTGCCGTAGTCGTTGGTGATTATCGAGTCGGTGAGCTCCCCGAAGGTGATGCTCTTGGTGTGTATCTGCTGGGAGCCAGGTGGTGCTCCACCGGCGCCCCCACCACCCGCCTGGGAGGTCGGCGTGCGCACGTGTCCGTGCACGGAGCGCGACTGTCCGCCCGGGCCGGAGGACGGCGGAGCGCCCTGCTGCTGATGGGCCACTGCTGCCGCTGCTGCAGCCGCCGCCGCCGAGATGCGCTCCTGGTCCAGATCGATGTTGATCACGTTGGGTGAGCTGGACGAGCTGGGCTTGCCGTTGTTCTCCGCCGTCAGCAGGGACACTGCGCCGGCCTCGTGGGCCTGCCGGTGATCGCGCAAGAAGAGCGGATGCAGGACATTGCCCGGCGAGGATCGGGTGCCGGCGCCACCGGGCACCCCGGGCCCGGCCGACGAGCGGGGCGGCGGCGGCGGAGCGTGGCTGGCGAATGCCGGCGAGGGGCGTGGAAACTCGGAGCGAACCGTCGCTCCGGTGGTGTCGTTCGTCCGGTTGATCTCGTGCTTGATGATGGCGTCTATCAGGCTCTGGGCACTCAGCTGGCCAGGCGCATCCTCCGCCGGGGGACCGCCGTGGGCGGCACGGTAATAGCTGTGGGGGGGGGGAATAACGATAGTTAGTCTTGAATCTGGAGGAGACACCTGGGGATACTCACTCTCTCTCCCGGTCGGGCATGGACCGTGGTGGACCCGGCTCGGGGACCGCGGCGCGTATGTAGTGTCCGGGCGGTGGTCCTCCGCCGCCTGCTCCGGCTGCTGTGACCACGCCGCCGCCGAACATGCGCTCCATGCGCCGGCTGTCGCGCTCCCGCTCCTCGGCCACCACCCGCCGCTCCCGATCCTGCTCCCGGCGCTCGCGCTCGCGCTCTCTTTCCCGCTCGCGTTCGCGTTGTTCTCTCTCCCGCTCACGCTGTTGATCGCGCTCTCGTTCGCGCTCCCGCTCCCGCTCCCGCTCCCGCTCCCGCTGCATCCGTTCCTGGCTCTGGAGGATCTCGCGGTCGCGCTGCTCCAGGGCGTGGTTGTGCTGCTGCTGTTGCTGGCGCTGGTCGCGCTTGGCCTGCTCCATGCGCCGCTGCAGGTCGACGTGGGCGGCGCTCAGGTGGTGGCGGTACTGCTGGTGCTGGGCCTGGACCGCCAGCTGCTGCTGGTGGACCACGGCGGCCATGTGCTGTTGCATGGCCAGATCCCGGTACCGGGACAGCTCGTGGTGAGCGGCCGGGGGTGGCGGTGGCTGCCCCACACCCACCAGAGCGTGTGGCGGTGGCGGAGCCGAAGGTCCGCCCGGCGAAGGACCTGGCCCCGGACCCGGTCCCGGGCCCTGAGCCGATCCCGGCGACTTGTCGTCCTTCTGGGAGGGCACTGGCAGCTGGGGCTGCTGCACCGCCACGTCCACAAACGAGGCCAAGGCATCGTGGCCGGCTGGAAGACACAAACACAGAGGGGGATTAGCTGGAATCCTCTAGAGAAACTAGGCTACGGTCCTACCTTGAGTATACTGGTAGGGAGTCACAATGTGCATCCGGCTTGGGGGCGGAGCTGCTGGCGATGGCGGCTTGGAGCCGGTGTTGTGCCGCTGGATGACGCCCTGGCGCTGTGGCGGTGGCGTACGATGTGGACTGGGAGTGCTGGAAACGGGATAACCATTAGAACTGATCCTCGGAGGAGACAACTGGGACAACTGGGAGGGGAAGGCTTACCTGTTGGCGTGGTCGGCTGGGGAGGCGCGACTCGAGTACTCTGGCCGGCCCCTGGGACCTGCTGGATCCTTGTCGCCATAGCCCCCGAAGCCGCCGGCACTGCCCACACTGTTGCGGGGCGAGGGCGACTCCTTGTCGGAGCCGCCGCCACCTCCGCCGCTGGCGCTGCTGCCGCGCGACATGTTGCGCTGCTGCTGCTGTTGCTGCTGCTGGCCCTGCATCTGCTGCGAGGTGATGTAGTCGTTCATCACAATCTGGCGCGTGCTCAGCACCGGTGGCTGTTCCACGACTCCGCCGAACGGCGAGCGGGCGTAGGGGGAGCCCACGCCCACGCCATAGCCCTGCGGGGGCGGTGCCTGCGGCGAGGACTGCTGCGGCGGCGGCGGCAGGACCTGTTGCTGCTGCTGCTGCTGCTGGGAGCCCGGCTGCTGGGCGGGACTGTGACGCGAGGAGCTCTTGTAGAACTCGTAGGCCCGCTTGCTCTCCAGGTGGTGGGGCGGCATGTGGAGGGGCGTGCCCTGGGTGATGGAGCCGTGCTTGTTGCTGCCACTGCCGCCGCCGGAGCCGCCCGATCCCGGGCCACCGTCCGGCGTTGTCTGGCGCTGGACGAGCCCCTCGAACTTGGGGCTCAGCATGGAGGGCGTGGAGGCGGCTGCTGCGGCGGCCACTGCTGCCGCATGGACTATGATCTGCTGCTGGGCACTGTTCGCCGGGGTGCCGTGGGTGATGGAGCCACTCTTGGCCAGCAGCTGGGCATTGGCCACGGCGGCTGCCGCTGCTGCGGCCTGTTGCTGCTGCGCCTGCTGCTGGGCCTGCTGCTGCTGCTGCGAGGGATGCATGGGATGGTGGGCCTGCTGGGGACTCAGCTTCGGCGGTGCTCCCTTCACACCCACTCCGCCCCGGCCCGGAGGCGGCTGTGCCGGCGGCGGTTGCCCGGCCCGCGGTGGCAGCTGCCCTTGTCCGGATATCGAGATGGGCACTGGCCCCGGCTGCACGTAGAGTGATCCGCCGGGCACACCCGGCACCACTCCCACTCCCGGGACCACGCCCACACCGCCGGTGGCCTTCAGGACGCCATGGGGCGGCGGCTGGGGATACAGATACGAGTTGGGGGGCGGAACTTCGCCGCGATACATGCCCGTGGAGCGGACGATGTGCTTCATGGCACTGGACATGGTCGGTGGCGCCACATGGTGGCGGTCCGAGGAGACGGACGAGGCGATCGACGAGGAGCCGCCACCACCCGGACCCGTATGCGGCGAATGCCCGTCCCGGGGTGGCTTCTTGATGCTCAAGTCCAGGGTTTGCGGCTCCGGCTCCGGCACTTGGAGCATCTGCTGCTGCTGCACCTGTTGCTGCACTTGTTGCTGCTGCTGCTGCTGCACCGGATGATGCACCACCGGGTGGGGGGCATGCTGCAGATGCTGCGACGGGTGGGCGCCGTGCACCGAGCGCGGATGAGCCGCCGGGACGTTGTAGATGATGGTTTCCGGCGGGGTCGGCGTGGTGCCACCTTTGCTGGCGCCCGAGCCGCCCTTCACCACCGGCGTTATGGTGGCCTTGTCCACCCCGCCGTGACCCATCAGGCTGGGATGGGCGAGGCCCACGCCCAGGTGGGGATTAACCACCGACAGGGTGGCCAGGCTGGAGTCGCTGGTGGTGCCGTTGTTGCTGCCGCTGGTAGGCGGCGGGCCGGAGCGGCTGCTGCCCAGCTTCTGCACGGAGGTGCCGTGCGGCAAGCTGCCCGCCTGGGAAGTGGGCGATGCACTTACTCCGCCGCCCTGCTGCTTCAATATACCCGACGGATCCTGTCGGTACTCCCGGACAATGGTCAGTTCCTTCCGTTCCAGGTTGTTGGCCGATTGTTGCTGTTGCTGCTGGGACGGGGACTGGCTTTGGACGGGCTGTCCTCCGGATCCCTGCTGCTGCTGCTGCTGCTGTTGTCCCTGTCCCTGTCCTTGGCCAGATCCTCCCTTGGGCTGGGGTGCTTTGTGCTTCAGGGATCTCTCGATCACCGAGTAGACACAATCCTGGACATTGTTCACCGCCTCGCGACGCATACCCATCGGTCCGTTGGCCTGCTGTCCCGGCTGTCCTCCCGCGCCCAGCGGCACCACCACGGGCGGCTGCAGGCCAGCCACATTGTTGGCATGGCCACCGGCCCCGGCGCCACCGCTGCTGGGGAACAGGACCTTGGGACTCTGCCGGTTCGCCGGCGAGTTCTCGTTCTCCTCGTCCGCCGTCTCGGTGGCCGACGAGTCGTACTCCTCGCTGGTCTTCTGCTTCTTGGGCGCCTGGCCGGCGGCGGGCGGCAGCAGGCGCTCGTTGTCCGATCCGGTCGCCTTCCGGGTGGGCGTTATGATCAGGGGCGTGGCCGAGGCCGCACCCGACGATGATTTCTGCTGCGGCGCCGGCGGTGGTGGCTGAGGTTGCGACAACGGTTGCTGTTGTTGTTGTTGTTGCTGATGTTGCTGCTGTTGTTGTTGTTGCTGCTGCTGCTGCAAGTGTTGCTGTTGTTGTTGCTGCTGCTGTTGTTGTTGTTGCTTCACCAAAGTCAAGGATTTGTGACGCTGCAAGTTCTCGGGGCTGTCCACGGATGCTGTATCGGAGCCGCCCGGTTCCCGTTCATCGCAGGAGGACGTACTGACATCCGTTTCATCGCCGCCACTGCCGCTGCCGGCGCCGAGGCCACCACTGCCACCGGCTCCGCCGCCGGGCCCGCCCAACATGGCGGCATCGTTGAGATTCAGTTGCGGATCCAGTTTCCGGCGGATGCGCATCAGACAGGCGGAACAGCAGCGCGTGGCGTGCGGCGGTATCTGGAACTCGGCCATCACCGGGTCCCTCACCTCCGGCGCCAGCTCGAACAGGCGCGACGGTATATTCCTCAGCCGCTGGGCCCGATCCTTGGGATTCGGGCACGTGGGCAGCGGACAGTGCGGATACCGACTCCGCACCGACTTGCACTGGCAGGGGTTGCACACCCGCGCTCCCGCCGGAATCGTCTCGTCCGGTATGCCGTACTGCTGGCCACGCCCCTTCTTCAGGGGGCGGGTACGGTTGCAGGCCTCCGCCTTGCACACAAAGCAGCTCGCCAATTTATCTAAAAATAAAAAATAAAAAATTAATTATGATTTAAATTTAATTTTAAGATTTAAAGATTTTTTAGACCCTTCTGATGGCTATATCTTTTCCCATTTCTATCTAATTCTTTAGGGGAGTATCTTGAAATATTTGTGGATCGATTCTCCGCCAATCTGCATCAAACCCTGGATGCAAAATATTTTTTCGATTTTTTTCCACATTTTCCTGGGCCACCCCTTGCAGAATCCACGATTTCCATATATGTCACCTTCCGATGTCCATATCTCTGGCAATTTGTATCCGATTCTTGAAAGGAATACCTCAATCGATTTGTGGATCGATTCCCCACCAATCTGCATCAAAACCTGGATGCAAAATATTTTTTCGATTTTTTTCCTCTTTTTCCTGGGCCACCCCTTGCAGAATCCACGATTTCCATATATGTCACCTTCCGATGTCCATATCTCTGGCAATTTATATCCGATTCTTGAAAGGAATACCTCAATCGATTTGTGGATCGATTCCCCACCAATCTGCATCAAAATCTGGATGCAAAATATTTTTTCGATTTTTTCCCCTATTTTCCTGGGCCACCCCTTGCAGAATCCACGATTTCCATATAGGACACCTTCCGATGTCCATATCTCTGGCAATTTCTATCCGATTCTTGAAAGGAATACCTCAATCGATTTGTGGATCGATTCTCCACCAATCTGCATCAAAATCTGGATGCAAAATATTTTTTCGATTTTTTTCCACATTTTCTAAGGCTTGTCCTTGGCCCCTAAGCTTGTCTATATTTTAGTCAACTTTTATTAGGTCCTTAAACGGAATACCCTAATCGATTTGTCCATCAATCCTTAGGGAAACTCCAAGCCCAAAACCCAAAAACCAAATAGTCCTGTTCAGGTCCTTGAAAAGTATGACTTGGGCATTTCATTAAATTCATTTGCCAATTAGAAAGCGCATTTTGTTTCAATTTTCAATCCGAGTGTAGGCAAAAGTTATGCAAACACATTAAAAAAAGCGATTTAATTAAAGCTGCTGGTCAGGAAGAGTGGAGGGTGGCAGAGGTAATCACGAATCAGAAATCGGACGAGAAATAAGGACGAAGGACGAAGAACAGAGGCTGGCAAGTAGGGGGCGGGGGGGAGTGGCTTTCATTAAGCCACTTAACAAATAATGAGCAGCCGCCAATTGAATATTTTAAAGCGCTTTCAGAAAAAGAGAGAGAGGGTGGCTTTCAAGGACTCCCAGGACTCAAGGACTAAGAACTAATTATTGGCTTGAAAATCGTTTAAAAAAAATATCATAAAAACATTAAGATTATTAGTTACAAGTTGAAGTTTGATTAAGATTTTTAAAAAATTTTTTTAAATATTTATTTTTTATTCTCCAGGGATAGAGTATTTATATTTTTGAAATGAAAACCAAAAAAAAAAGGGGGAGGTTCGTGTGTTTGTCTTAGTTTTTGTTTTGCCATTTTAATAATTTTACAATTTTAATGATGTGCAAATAGAATGAAGAGAGAGAGAGAGAGAGCTATAACTAGAGCAAGTGAGGAGGAGGTGGAGGTGGATAGGCAGGACAAACAATAAAGGCATTTAACAAAAATCAATGTAATTAAAATAAAAGTCCTGCGAGTCTATCCAAAAAAAAAAACCAAAATATTTAAATAAAATGGGAAATTTTAGCTCTCTTTCTTACTCTCTTTTATGCTTTAAAATTCTCAGTGGAATATAACAAAAAAAAACATCAAAGTAGACAACCCCCTAAAACCTTTACAAAAATTATTTAAAAAAAAAATACTTTACAAAAATATGTATATGTATGCTTTTCATGCGTTAAAATTTTAATAAGGCACTCATTTTAATTTTGATTGTTAAGCTAAAAAAAAAAAAAAGAGTGGGTGGTATGCCTGGTAGTTAATAAAAAAACCGCCTCGTGAATGCCCCAAAAAAGTAGGCAACATTTTATTGCCATAAATATTCATCGGGGGAGAAAGAAAAAAATGTGTAGCTCAATCAAATTGCAATTATAGATTGCAAATTAAATAAAAATCACAAAATAAATATTTAATATTAATATCAGTAACACACAACACGAGCCAGAAAAAGATCAACAACAATGTGTACCATATAAGTGGACAGCCAATAAAAAATGTTGTAAATCAAATTGAAAACAATACAAAATGACATTTAATATAGAGGTTATATAGAGACTTTAAATACCCTATAATATAACTATTAAATCTTATATTTTAACAAGATTTTCTAAAGATTTTCAAGCCTAAATTTGTTTAAATAATGTTTATAATTAATAATTATTAACTTAACTTTTTAGTAGGGTATTTAAAATAGTCACATAATTGAATAAAATTTTTATTGGGCTTCCAGAATATGTCCGTATGTGGAACAACACCAACAACAACAAATAAATTAATTAATAAAAACGTTTGGGGCGCCCAACAAAAAAAACTGAAACAATATTGGGGTTGCCAAAAGGGGTTGGAGGCCACGAGCCAACCTCGTTTCGTTTTCCCTTTTTTCTTTATTTTTTTATTATTTAATTTCGATTTTAAAATATTCGGTAAATATTTTATGCTCTCGCTGGCAATGGCCGAAAGAAAAATAAACAATGACCGCGGAAATAAATCGTAAAAAAATCCAAATTCACATTTATGATGGACTTGATTTAATAATTTTAAAAAGAAGGCTCTATTGCGGGTCAACAATCGATTTTTTATCGATAATTTTGATACAAAATGATAACTATATAGTCCTCCCCTTGATAATAACTCCATTTATTACCAAGCCATTAAAAGTTAATAATTTACTGGCCATCAGTTTGATGAATCTCGTATCCTTTTCGATCAAATGTCCTGGACAATTGATTTCCCAACAACAATAACAACAACAAGGACACTAAAAAAAGGACACATGTTTAACCAAATTAAGTCATCTGTAATTAATGCATATTAATGGAATTTTGTGTTAATTAAATGTGACCTACAACCACTCGGCCCAACAGGACCAACTCTCACCCACCCCCCTTTTATGTCCAATATTACCTCAATTTCCATAGCATACTTATGAGGGACAACAAGAACAAAATTCCCCACTGCAATTGCTTTAAAGTAATTCAATCAAATAATACAACAAACAAATAAGAAAAGTGAAGAGAAAAAAAAAATATTTTAAAAAAATATGAATTTCCGTTTGGGTATTTTTTTTTTCTTTTTCTTTTATTTTATTTTATTTTTTATTTGCTGACCAGCAGCGTCGTCGATGGCGGCGGTGGTTCTCTTTGCATTTCGATCAATTTTATTAATAATTCAATCAGTCAAAAAATTATTTGAACCGCCCCAAAGGAAAACAAAAAAGTTTCGACGTCGACAGTGGCCGCAGCAGCAGCATCACCAGAGACAGCGACAGCGACATCGACAGCGGCAGAGGAAGTGGTGTTCCGGGAGAGAATGGGGTGAGAGTAAGAGAGTGAAAAGCGGACAGTAGGCGGTAGGGCTTGAGGTTTATTTTTTCTTCTCTGATTTCCTTTTAAACACCGTAAGAAAAATAGAGGAAATTCAGGTAAATAACTAAATTTGAAAAAATTATTTAAGAATTGGTTTAAAACTTTATAAAGCTTAAATTCTTATTTTTAATTCCCTAATTTCCTATTTTTCTCTCTGTGTATTGAAGATTTTCTTTCTTGTCTATCGTTGATTTCTTTGCTAAATTTTCTACTTTGATTTCTGCACTCGCGACTTTGGAGACAGAGCACTAAGAAGAAGAAGAAGAAGAAGGAGAAGGACGACCATGAGACCTTGAGGGGGTGGAGGCTGTGGAAAGACCGATGAAACGTGGAACATGGAACATTGCGAGTTATTTGCACAGCAAAGAAATATATAAAAAAAAAAAAAAAAAAAAAAAAACCAAAAGTAAATCAAAACGACAAACAAAACAAAACGAGAAGTAACGCACACACCCACCCTGCCCCCCAGTACACCACCCACTATCTCCTTCTGTTTTATGCCTTTCTCACTCTTACTCTTGGTATACGATCCGTAGACTATCTCGTTCGCTCTTCTCTCGAAAATGAAATAATTCCATTAGTACAATTTCTTTTGCAAGTACAAAGAGTAAATATTGAGGCGGTCTATGAGGGGGGTGGGGGGTGGTGTTGTGGAGTGAGAGCAAAGAGAGTATAGGTGGGGGAGTTGTAACAGAAAAGTGTGTGTTTTTGTGTGTGTGTGTGTGTGGGAGGGGGATAGGCCTAATGTCTCTATTTGTGGTTGTGATTTGCTTTGTGTGCGAGTGTGTGTGTGTGTGTGTGTGCTCAGGATGCTGACCTAGTAATTCCAAGTTGTTTTTGCCAATTATCAACCTTTTCCATTTCCGTTCTCCACTACACCCCCCCTTAATTTGCATTTCTATAATTGTGCAATTAAATTTCGACCATTTTAGCAAATAGTTTTGCCATGACCAACAAATAACGGTAAACAGAAATTAACCTGAGCTTATCCCTGCTCGCTCTGTCCTCTCCCCCACGCTCTCTCTTTAGTATGGTTCCCCAGCATGTCCTACCATGTCCTTTCCTACCTTTGTCTCTTTCCCACCCGTTGTAATTCCCACTGGAATTGTGGACTCTGCTGCAGCAGCACAAAATTTCTGCACAAGTTACCAAAAATTTTATTTAACTTTCAATTAGACAATTGAAAACAACAACAGAAAAGGGATTGGGGTGATAGAAGGACTAAAAGGATATCAAAAGGACAATTTAATGCCATCTTTTATTCGGATTTTTAAACTATTAATCTACTAAATCAAATCAAAAAACACAAAATCCAATCAAATTCCATTCCTAAAAAATGGAAGCAATTGAAAAAGCAACAAAGCCAATAGGATAAAGTGAAAGAAAACGGAAAGAAAAGAGAGAAAGCGGCCAATTAAAAAATATACGAGAAAAGGCGCAGCACAAGAGCAAGCAAAGCCAAGGCAGCCGGCGGGCGACGCAGGACGA